GCGGGGGGTGGGTGACTCCCTTTTACTTTTCCCAAAGGTATTGTATTTAATTTTTAGGAAATTGCACTATTTGTCCTTAACCTATTTGAAGTCTTTCAATTTTATCCTAGATCTTTCATTTCTTGCATTTTTTTAGTTATGGACATTTAAAAAATAAATTAAATGACTCTTATTGCATGATAGCAAAATCCTATAAGGATACACACAAAAATGAAAAAAAAGAATACCTATAAATAGAGTGAACAAAATTACCCAACCAAGATTCATTGTAAGAGAAAAGTTAAGATTTTGACTTTGCTCATGTATTAAAAACAAAAAAAGACAATTCATACTAATATTAGTATACTACTATGTAATTAGGAGAAATGGCATAAGTTAGAAATTTTCATATAAATATTGGGTTTTGTTTTTTTTTTTTAATTTTTTTAAAATATTATATGATAAGTTATACAATAAGAGATAATATTTATTTTTGCAAACCCCTCCTCACTCACTCACAATTCTTTTTTAAATTATCATACTAGTATTCTTTTAACTAAGGTAGAATAAAAGTACTAAAATGGTAACAAGTTAAACATGATGGATGAAATCCAAAATTTTATAGAATACTAAGGACCAACGTAGACATTCAATCTTTAAAAAAAAAATTTTAAAAATGTTTTAAAAAGAGAAAATCGAGATGAACATGTGACGGTGCCCACGTGGCTGCACCCAGCAGGGGTATAGGTGGGTACAACAACAATCCTAACAGAAGAATCTTGTTTTCTCTAATCTCTAGAACAAAGGCTATCTGTTCTGTCTTATCCAAAAAGCACAAGCATAATGACAAGAAAATTCATTTTTATCAATTTTTGGTGGTTGACAGAAGGGGAAAAAAAAAGTGGGATTAAATGTTCATTTATATTCTTTCTTTTCATAATAATTTCAACAACTAACTTCAGTTTGAACATAAAATTTTCTGTTTGGTGGTATTAATCAAAGAATGTGGGGAGAAGAGAGAAGAAGGAAATTAAAAGGACTAAATATTGATTTAATTAATGATAATTATGAAGGTATTAAATGATGGGAGGCCACTTCTTGTGT